GGCATGTTGTCTTCCAGGTACAAAGAGAATCTGCCTTCTGAGTATTTTGCAAAGCCCAAGAACAGGCTGACGTTCCCCACCTCCCTGAACAGCCAGCGGTGGATATTTGTCAGAAAGGGACTGGATGACTTCAGGAAAGGCTGCCCACCTTGTGATGGTCTGATCATTCAGGGTCCTCAGGAGCACTTTCTTCCTCAGATTTATCACAGAGCTCCCCGACCTGCCCCCGAAAAGAGGCAGAACAAACTGCCCAAGGAAGCAGCCCTGTTTTCCAAGCTCTCGCCAGCCCAGCAGGCACGAAAGACACTCCTGGAGGACACAGAAGCCCAGCTGACCCTGCACCCCTTGGCTCTCTACCCAAATCTGGAAGAAGATATGCCTGTGGAGGTGATCTCCTGTGCTGGGGTTGTGGGAGGGCCTCCACTGGGACCTTGAAAAGAATTCTCCTTAGATCCCTGGGGAGTTTCCGTGAGGTCATGAAATGTTTATAAGGAGGAAAGGAAGAGGAATGTCTCCCTAGAGTGAGAGTTCTCGTGGCAGTTGGAGCAGGCTTTCTTTTCTGCCCTGAGGAACACAATCAGCAGCAACAGACACCCATTACACCCATCTCCCTTTGCTTCCTAGGACGCCACACAACTTGTAAAGGTCCAGCACACCAGAAACATTAGAATTCTTCTCCCCTGAAGTCCTACCAGTCTGCTTTGCCTGTGACTTTTTTGTGGGGGGAGTTGTTCAGTTTTGCTTCTGTCACTTTAACCTGTGATAAGTACTTACAAACTGATGGGTAGAAATCATATGAGAACCTGAAAGGTCACAGGGAAAATTCAACAAATTGTCAGGCGAGGTTTGGGCAACAGCTCTATTATGTCACCAAGGTCCCAGGCGTCTTTTGACTTTCAGCTCCATACTCCTTAGCACATGTCTCTTGTTCTCTTAACTCATAATGGCTTCCACATCTACTGGCATCAAGTCTGTCTTTCAAACAAGAAGAAGAAAGGGGCAAAGGTTAAAGGGTGCATGCTAGCTGACTCTGTCTTCTAATTAGGCAAATATAGTTGACCCTTGAACAACACGGGATTGAACTGCACAGGTCCACTGAAATGTTTTTTTGTTTTTTGTTGTTTTTTTAAATAAATACAGCCAGCCCTTTCTATCTGTGATTTTTGCATAGGTAGATTCAACCAACCACAGATGGAAAACAATATTTTCACATTCCCAACTGCAGATGCCCATCTGCGGATGGAAAATAACTGTTTTTGATCTGTGGTAGGTTGAATCCGCAAATGCGAAGGGTCGACTATAGAGTCAAAAGTTAACATGGATTTGCGACTGTGCAGGGGTCAGCACCTACCAAACCCTGTGTTGTTCAAGGGTCAACTGTAATAGCTTTCCTAGGAAACAGTTCGTCCATCTGACCATTCCTAGCTGCTAGGGAATTATAACTTGAGTTTCTTGTTTGGACATCGCAACACTGAATGCAATATGGAACAAAATTGTTAGATTTAAGGAAAATGGGCAGAATGGATATTGGGCAGGGAACTAGCAGCGCCTACTACCCCACCCCACCCCTGCTATCTGTTCCCCACACAGTGAGCTGAGCATGATAGTTGTTCAGAAAGGTGAACTCCTGTGCAGAGCCCTCCAGCGGCCCCTTCTTATCAGAGTAACGTCCTTGCCATTGAAAGGCCCAGTGTGTTCTGCTCTCCACCCCTTCCCTCCCCTGCTCCTGCTTCAACTCCACCACCTACCCCTCTGCTGTCACCTCGCTGCAGCCACTCTGGCTTCCTACCCGCTCTGTGAGCATTACAAGCATGTCCAATTCAGATCTCTGTCCCTGGACCTGGGGCACTTGACCCATATGTCTGCATGGCTCACTTTTTCCCTTCCTTCAGCTCTTTGCTCAAATGTCCCCTGATTGGAGAGACCAATTAATACTTCCCTTTCACTCTCATTCTCTGTCCTTACCGTGATGTATTTTTCAGCATAGCACTTGTCACACTGGGCTCCTTACTAGAATAAGAGCTCTACAAGAGCAGGGACTTTATCTGTGCCTTTCACTGTGTGCCACCAATGCCTAGCATATGGTAGATACTCAATAAATTTTGATGCAGAACGAATGAATGATCAGTGGCAGAGAAGTCTATAGACAGGACAACTGGAATTTCTAATCCATTATTTTCCACCTAGGGCTTTCCTGCACTGCCTCCTGCAGGCCAGAGCTGCTGAGTCCATGACAAACAAGTTGTTCCCACTTACCCTTAGATGGCACATAGGATGTGAGGCCTTTACTTCCCTGTCTGACCTCCCAACTAAGTATGTTAGCTTTAGTTTTGAGGCCGGGTCTCTTTATGGTGCTGCGATGGCCACTAGCAGCTCAAGATTTAAATTCTACCCAGAAAAAGAACACCTCTTTTTGCATGGTCACAGCAAAAGGCCAGAACCTAACTCTCATGGGTCCAACTTGGGTTATGTGCCTGTTCAGTGTGGTCCTCATTGGCCTGGTCTGCCTGTAGAGTGAGAATGGGGTCAGGCCAGTTCAGATCATGAGGAAAGAGTGGAAGGAGAGGTGGTTCTCCAAAGAAAAACCTAGATACTGTCATTCGGAGGAGGAAGAATGGATGCTGGACAGTCAGAAGCCATAGAAATCCTTTAGAGGTACTTGGCTCAGGGGGACCGCTGGGGACCAGGGTAGACCCAGTGGCACTATTCCATCTAGAGAAGATGGAACTTCAGTACAGAGGTTGCCTGCCGAATGTCCAGGTGATGGAAGTTTACCCAGAGCACCCAGCACAGGACTTGCACGGAACCTAATGAACAGCACTGACCAACTGGGAAGGAAAAGCAAGGGGGCCAATGGGCCTGTTTCTGGCTTAGAACCAAGGGGTCCCATTTTTCAACACATTTTTCTTTCCTCCATAACTGTTTTCTGTTTGAAGCTTTTATTAGAGGTGCTGGAAGTGCTGGATCCTGACAGGAAACTGGAAGACACGTGGGCTTATTGTCAGGGCCTCAGGAAAAGAGCAAAGGAACCCATAAAACTTTTAAAAAAACGTTCCACCCAAGTCTCCTTGGGACTGTAAGTATTGTTCTTAACCCCTCGCTCATTCCTGTCACCTGATGAAACATTCTAGGAGTTCCTCTCTCAAAGCTCCTCATCTTTAGAATAATTTAGCGAAGCAAAAGTAACTAAGTTCCCGAGGACGAGGGAAAGGAGCCTTGAGTCCTGCTCTACATAGTGCTTATTTCATAAATGGATGTGACTTATCCAGCAATGGAGCAAAGGTATGTGTCTACATGGCTGTAGGAGAGCTTTTAGAGAAGAGGAAAACTGCAGGAGACCTGATTAACGGGCCCATAATGGCTTTCTGAATTCTCTCTGGCAGAAGTTCTTTTATTCAACATGGCTGGGAAAAGTAGTTGGTTGGATAACCAGAATAAAATGTTAACACAGGGAATTATAAAAGGTGACACTTAAGTACTTAGAACATTTTATGTTACTCTAAAACATAACTTTACTTCTCTTGCTAGTCTTTTAAGGTAAAACCCTTTTTTGAGTATGGGTCTGCTGCTTGGATTTCCAAGTCATCTTTTTTGCATACATTACACTAGTAATGCCACCTTTATTGAATGTTTCCAAAGCACTGAACTTGATTTTCATAGAAACAGCCCTCTTTTGTACCACACTCTTGTTTTCTCATCTCATATGATATTTAATTAAAAATGTAAATGCAATGATCAGTATACCTGACATGAATAAAGTTGGGATATCCTTTTGACTTTTGAAGTTAAATGACATCACTGGCAGGCACTGAGAAGTGTAGGTAAACTAGAGAGAAGCCCATCTGTCCACAGCACCCGGACCACTACGGAGGGCGCAGAGCCACAGTCGGGGTATTTGGAAGAGGCTGTGTAGAGCTTTGCTAGTCACATAAGTTACCTACATGGAGGTGGAGTGAGAGAGAATCCATTGTGTTAAATTATAAGTGTTACTTAGGGTGAGACACAAGGTGACAGGAACGCCACTGTTGTGACACCTGAGACTCCTCACTGTACCTCCTGGTAAATTTGGGGAGAACAACTAGGCATGCTCATCTCAGCTCTGCCCTTCTTCCCCTGGGAAGCAAGATAGCCCATGAGAAGCACAAGTTCTCCTATGTTCCTCCTTTTTTGAAGGGAGACCCATCCTGGTCTACCATGCTGGGCCTGCTTTGGACAGTCTGCCCACTTCTGGGTTTCAGTGAGCAAGCACTTTTGCACCTAAACCCATGTCTTCCAACATGGCTGCTGTCAGTACTAAAGGTGATATTTTGGCTTTCATCTTTGCTTTTTGTATTATTTTTCAAGTTGCTCAGAACCAGGATGGGGAAGAGGGGGAGGAGTGCTATATGAGGGGATACCCGTGGAGACTCCAACACCATGGGCCAGTGTGGCCCTGTGAGCATCTTTCAATTCTTGACCCTCAGCAAACCTTTAGCTAATTATTATGGCATGTGACTTTATCTCAATTTTTAAAATGAAGCTGTTGAAGAGGGCTTAATTGAGGATGAAGGGCAGCTGCATTTGACATGATCAGGTTCACATTTTGAAACGACCATTTTGGCTGCAGTGTAGAGAATGGGTTAGGGATTGGGGGTTGGAGGTCCTAAGAGAAGATGCAGAGACACCAGCGAGCAGTGGTGACCTTTCACAACAGTCCAGAGAAGAAAACAGGGTTAAAATCGACCAGGCTTATTAATGGGCTGGATTTTAGGGATGGGGGGAGAGTGAGGTCACGGATGTCTCCTTCTTGTCAAGATTGTCTGAGGCTTCGGCAGACTCCCAAGCACATAATTTGGGCTTTTACCTGGCACGTGTCTTAATAAATGGTACTCACAGCCTTAAAAATCAACTTATAATGGTAAAATGCCATATAATTTTTAATTGTTATAACTAATCATGATATGCTTGTCTTTATGATACTGGTAACAGGAATGTAATCTTTGAATAATTAACATAATTAGTGTGAGCTTGCAAGAAACTATTGGAAACACTTGTTTTATGATCTTTCCCCAAGACACTGTTTGAAATCCACTTGGATTCATGGTGGCTCAAATTGTAATTTGATGATCCTATTATCTTTAGTCTCCAGAAGACTCCTCTGTCACATCCAGGCCGATTGCTTTACGAAGAGAAGCCAAGCGAAGTGGATTTGCTCCGTGAAGAGGGTCCTTTTCCTTACGAAAATGTGCGCAAAGAAGTTAGTGACTTCTGCAACTGGGCTACTAGTATTGTAAGTTACTAGTAATAATTGCAACTTACTTGTTAAATTCAAGCTCAGTTACTTTTACTTAAAAAGAAGTTTGAATATAATCAAAGTCAAGTAATCAAAGCCATAAAGGAATCTTTGTGACTCTCCTGCCATTTATAATAGAAATGTTTTTTGTAGATAAAATTTCTGGAAAGTTTGCGAGTTTGCAATTTGTTTATTGTTTATATCTCATTGCTGTTGTTTCTTATTTTTTGAGTAGCTATCTCTTCCCTGCCCTCCCCAACTTTGGTGAGATATAGTTGACATATAACATGGTGTAAGTTTAAGGTGTACAAGTAATGATGTGATACAAGTACATATTGCAAAATGATTACCACAATAGGGTTAGTTACTATATCTATCACCTCACATAATTACCTTTGTGTGTGTGTGTGTGTGTGTGTGTGTGTGTGTGTGTGTGTATGGCGAGAACATTTAAGATCTACTTGCTTAACAACTTTGCAACTTTCAAGTATGTAATGCAGTATTATAAATTATAGTCACCATGCTGTACATGACATCCCCAGAATTTATTCATCTTATAACTGGATTTTGTATCCTTTGGCCAACATCTTCCCATTCCCCCACCCTATTTCATGTTTTTATTTTCCATTTCAATGTCAGGATCTTCTTTTCTCTCTTTGCTTCACTCCTTCAATTAATTTTTCTCAGTTATATTTATTGGGTAGGTATACTTGACTACAACCTTTACAAAGGTTTTTCTGACGTGGAGAGAGTATTGACTCAGTTAGCAAGGTCTTCCCTAGTCCTCCTTCCAAGAACCTATTAGTTACATATTCCTGTTCCCAAGCCCTTACATGTTTAGATTCCCCGTTTTTCCTGGATTTGAGACCTTCCAGGATTTGTAAGCTCCTCCTCCCCCATTTTTTGAGTGTATTAGTCGGTTCTCGTCAGTGTATTATTTAGGATTATTTCATTGGCAAGTGACTGAAATATAATTCAGACTGTATACAGGAGGAAAGGGAATTGTCCAGACGTCTTACGAGCTGTAGGCACATCTGGATCTAGGTGCAAAAATGTTTTTAGGTGCTTTTCCTACCTCTTGGATGCTCTCCTCTATCTGACTCCATTGTCCATCAGTCTTTCCCCAAGAGATGACAAAAGTAGTCACTAAAATTTCCAAGCTTACATCCTATCAGATAGCAACCTAAATGGGGAAAAAAACAGCCCTTCCCAATAGGAAAAAGTCAAGGGCTCATTCTCCCTGAGCTTACCTGGGTCATAGCCTTATGTCTGATTATCCACTATACGTGGGGAAATGGAATATGCTCATTACGAGGTCAGGTCACACGTCTAATCCTGAAGCAAAGAGGTGGGCACGTGCAGGCCAGCTGCAGCAGACTGACTGAGCGGCCTTGGGAGGCTTCCTAGAGGGTGATTGGAGTAAGAATGCCGGCCAAGGCAGATGATGCCCATCCCGCCTGGCACTTGAACCACTGCTTGTCTGTGATCTGGCTGGAATGGATTGCCTGGAGTCCAGTCCTTCCACTTCTGCCATTCCTACTGCTGCAGACTACTCTGTCTAGGCAGGAAATTTAAGAAGCTGTAGGATAATAATTTAGCTGCTCTGGTGACCAGTCTTATTCTCAGCCTCTTGTGACCCAGGTCCCATCTTTACATCGGTTATGCCACCTTGGTCCCTCTCACATTACCCGGTGGTGGTTTCTCTATCCCCAGCTTATACTTTCCTTCATGCTGTTTATTGTTTTACCTCATTGATTCTGCTTGCCCTTTTTCTACTTCATTATTATTTCAGCCTAGCTTTGACTCTATTCCTCCCTTTATGCCCCTGACTATTTCATGACTCCGCTCCAGCCATGGTCAAATGCCTCCCTTAGATTAAAGAAGAAAGCAAGGAGCATTTCACCATTTGTCCTTGACGCATACAATGTGAAATTCTTCCAGGGAAGCTCAGACATTGATGAAGACTTCATCCTGAAACAGTTTGACATTGACTATGAGAACAAACCAAGCTGTGATGTGTCCCACGCGATGAGACTCAACCAGGTTCCTTTGGAACTAAAGAAGAGTGTGGGGCTCAATAAACTTCGAGAGCCAGAATTTTTCCAGAAACTAGGCCATGAGCAGAAATGCCAGAAACTGCAGGTAATTGCAAAAGGGGGGAAGACTGAAAGTCAAAGAAAATTAAGTTGTATTAAAGTCTTAAATGTTCTTGAATTCTGGCACCAACCTTTTTCAGTAGAATTCTTGAATATTTTTGATGTTTAATAAATATTTGTTAAATGAATGAGTGTTTAATAATATAACAACGTCAATTATACAAACAAGGCATGTCATTCAGCATTATTGTTAATACCTGAATAGTGATTATTACTCTATGTGCTTTGTATGTTGAGACAGTCTCTTTATGCATTTTATAGGTCGAAATCCTAACAGTGGAAATATATCATTGCAAGAGTAAAGTGCTGTAATTGATGATTGTGAATGCTGTTCAGTTTATATTCAAAGAATTCTTGAATTTTTAGGGGAGTCTTACTGACCACAAACCATTATTCTTGACTACATGCTTGCCTGATCATTAATAACTCATTCAGTTTCCCGGTACCAACTTCCCGTGAAGATAGAACAAGGTAACAGAGGGGAGAGATAACATGATATGTTCCAAAGGGAAATACTACGGGCTCCTAAGTACTTTTCCACTTTTTAACATGCGTTACTGCAAATATATACATAAGTCAAATATGTCAGTCCAACAGCAGGCTTAAATGCCTAAGTGGGAGTTGGTGAGTGTAGAGGGGGAGAGAGTTCCTTTCTCTGAAAATGAAAAACAGCATATTATCTCTAATTACTCCCTGCCTTTTACACATAATCTTTGATACTATATTTCCAATACTTTGGACTTATTAACTCTGTCCTTTACAATTGAACGCAATCAACTGACCTGTTTTTACATACATGATGTTTTCCATCCTTGACTCTGTTGCATAAGGTTTATGAAAATTATGCATTCCATGACTAATATCAGCACTTTAGATTTTCCGTTTTATGCTCATCTTTCTAAAGGGTAAACTGCAAACTGATGCTGGACAGGCAGATTATGTCCATCACAGGTGGGGCCTGAACCACTGCGTGTCCTGAATTGGGCAGAATGAAATTGCTCAATTCCCTGTACTTATATAAAGAATTGCACAAACACTGCTTTATAAAGCCACTGTAGTTATTGCCAAAATTGAACTTTTGACTAGCAGACGGAGGGTCACTAGGCAAAAGTTCAAAATGTATTTCCACGTGGTCCTTCTGCCTGAAGGACTTCCTTTAACATGTCTCCTGGTATAGATCTGCTGGTGATGAATTCTTCCAGCTTTTGTATGTCTGAAAATATCCTTATTCTGCCTTCATTTTTAAAGATATTTTTGTGGGTGTAGAATTCTAGGTTCACAGTGTTTGATTTATTTGTTTGTTTTCAGAGCTTTAAAGATGTTACTTCACTGTTTTCATGATTGTGTTGTTTCTGATGAGAAATCTTGTGTCATCTTTATCTTTGTTTTTCTGGGTATGTTTTTTTCCTTGGCTGCTTTTAACATGTTCTCTTTGTCACTGATTTTGAGTAGTGTGATTATTACACACCTTGGTGTATATTTCTTCATGTTTCTTGTGCTTAGGGATTGCTGAGCCTTTTCAACCATGGATTTATAGTTTTCATCCCATCTGGAAAAATTTTGACCGTTATTTTTCCAAGTTTTTTTTTTTATTCCTCAGCCTCTTTCCCAGGACTCTAATTACATATAATTAAGAGCTGTGTGACATTATCGCACAACTCACTGCTGCTCTGTTCAGCTTTTATTCTTTTTTCTCTCTGTTTCTATTGCTATGTCTTAAAATTCTCGAATCTTTTCCCCTCTGAATTGTCTAATCTAATGTTAATCCCATCCAGTGTATTTTTCATCTCGTACTTTATAATTTTCATCTCTAGAAGTTTGACTTGGTTTATATATATTTTCCATGTCTCAATCTTTTGAACATATGGAATACAGTTATAATAACTGTTTTGATGTTCTTGTCTGCTTAATTCTAACATCTGTAAAAGGTCCGTGTGTGTTTCTAGTCATTGACTTTTTTCTCCTCATTGTGGATCATGTTTTCTTGCCTTTCTGCATGCCTGGTGAGTTCTGAATAGATGCCAGGCATGGCGAATTTTACCTTATTGGATGCTGGGTATTTTTGTATTCCTATACACAGGAGTTTTCTTCTGCGATGTAGTTAAAGTTACTTGGAAACGTTTGATCCTGTTGGGTCTTGCTTCTAAGATCTGTTGGGAAGGACCAAAGTAATGTTCAATCTAAGGGTCAAGACCGTTCTGTGTATTCTACCCAGTGAACCTTTAGGTTTCCTAGGAGAGAACAAGCGCTGCCCCTGGCCTCAGGTGCGCGCCAGGCACTGTTCCCTCTAATCCTTTCGGCTGGCTCTTTCCCAGACCTCAGGTAGTTTCCTCCCACACATACACAGAGGAAGACTGTGCCGACCTCTGGAGTGCTCTCTCTGTTCAGACCTCTTCTTTCTGTTTCTCTGTGCTGCAAACTTTAGCTGCCTTGGTCTTGCTGGACTCTCAGTTCTGTCTCCTCCACGCAGGGAGTCCACTGGGCCCTCCCTGCACTGTGATATGGCACCTCTCACAAGGCACTGAGCTGGAGCAATTGTGGGCTTACCTTGTTCGTTTCTTGTCTCTCAGGGATCGCTATCCTTTGTTATTTGATGTACAGTGTCTTACAAGCCATTATTTCATATATATGTTTTTCTGGTTTTTGGTTGTTGCAGGTGGGAGGGTGAATCTGCTCCCTGTTCTGGAAGTGGAAGTCCCCGTCTTCATTTTTTTTTTTTTTTTACCCTACATGCTCTCAGTCCTGCTGCACTCTGCTGTTTGGTGTTCTTTAAAACTCTGAACTTTCCTATTACCTTACCTTTGCTCACAATACTCTCTCTGCCTGAAGTGCCTCTCTTCCCGTGTCTACGTGCTTCCCATGTCTACATACCTTCCTTTAGACACAGGCCATATGAAAATTTTTCCTTAGGTTTTCTCCAGGTTTTCAGGTTGACATTAATTTATTCTACTTCTAATTTCTCACAACCTTCTGTATGTCTATTGTAACATATTCTCTGTATATTCATTCATTCATTTGTTTGTAAATTCATTCAAGAAACCTTTCTGAGCATCTACTACTATGTGCCAAAAAGTGCTGGAGGCAAACAAAGGACTGTTTTCTGCACTTAAGGAAAGTCTAGTAGGATCAACAAGTAAATGATGAACTGTAATGAAATGATGTTGTGGTTTGTACATAGGACATAGGAGGGCGTTATCAATTTCACCAAGCATGGAGTGAGATTAGGTACACAGTTAAGACATCACAGAAGAAATTATATTTGTGCTGAGTCTTGAGAGAACACCGGTTACCCAGCAACATAATATATTCCAGAACTCAAGTTCTTTAGTAGAGCAGTGGTGTAGTTTCCATTCCTCCCCCTTCCTTTCTTTCTCTTCTCTTTGCTTTCTTCCTTCCTTTAATTCAGTGGTTCTCAACCAAGGGCAATTTTGCCCTTTTCCCCCAACTACCCACCCAGGGATATATGATAATGTCTGGAGATGACTTTTTTTTTTTAACACAGCACAACTAAGCATTTATTATACTGGTTAAGAAGTGAAACAGTTGCAGTGGTGTTTCAGAAGCTGTATCTTTTTTTAAAAAATGTAATATATGCTCATAGATTGTAAACAGTATTTTAAAATATATAATCTCTCCAAAAGAAAATGTTCAGCTGAAGATAAGATAGATAACTCAATGTAATTAAATGATACAAGATTTTAAAATTAAAGTAGTCATTAGGTTTTTCACAGCACAATGTACAGAAATTTGCAGACATCCTGTACAGAGCAATATAATCCTTACTGTTGAGCAAGACATTCAATAGCATGTCAGTAATCTTCCACAAGTTCCTGAAAGCTTTCTTCCAGCTGTTCATGTTGCATGCTTATTTCGATTTGGTTCATATGGTTTTTCAGTTCTTCTGGTCTGAGACATTTTCTCATTTTCACAAGATCTCTCTGCTTTTTCCTTATATGGGCTAATTATTCTTTTAATATCCAGTCTATAGTTTCTGTATTGTTTAACATCACTCATATCAGATACCAGTAGTCAAAGAATTTCATAAACCCATTGCTTATTTATTTTGAACTTTTGTTATGCATTTATTGCCATATCTTCATTGAATCCTTGCATTAATTTTCCCGGGAAAAATAGGGCAGATCTTGACAAAGCTTCACAAGCACAAAATCTCTTAATTTCACACATAGCTTTTGGATAGATCTTCCTCTGTAATACCAAGTGCAGAAGGAGATGCAATGTAGTATCTATGAAGCATTTCAAGAAGTTGAGCACCATGGCCTTGACCTTTAAATAGAGTCAATATCAGCATTTGACTTATACGTGGCTGGGTTTTGTCTGAGTACTCAGTAATTATAAACTGTCATGTACCCTAATGTCACAAAGAGCATAGCTCCATCCTTATTATACTTCTCAAATACTAGAAAGTAGTACCATCTTTCACCATCCATGTCGATAAAGCTAGCAGTTTCGATAAACCACATCAAAAGGTCTGAAGCCTTTCAGGATATTCTGGAAAGCCTCATGTCATGTCAGCCTTGTTTATATGAAAGGTAAAGTTTCTGCCCCCTTTTGGACTTAGAACAGAGTACGTATGGAATAGGGTTCCAAATGGCTTGAAATCAACTTCTTTTTGCAGCAAAGAAAGAAAATCATTTGTGTTTGTGCAAAATCTAGGTGGAATGGTTTGTTTAATTTTGCCCTCAACATCATCTGCCTCTCCAACGTCAAAGTTCTCATCAACTTTCGATGCATATTCAACATGGAACATTGTTGCCAGGCTACCAGTGATATAGTATAACAGGATCTTCAGATCCTTGTAACCAAAAGCAGTTTCATCACCCCAGAGAGTTGATGAATATATTCAGGAAAGAAAGTTCTAATGCCGTTCTCAAGATCTTCAGGAAAACAAACTATTTTTAGTTCAGTTCCTATGTTGGTGTTACATTTGTACTCTGCCAATTTCCTCTCCAGTGTACTCTTGTTTCAACCAAAAATTTCTCCATAGCACCAAGTCCCGCCATGTCTGAGCTGTGAGCACCAGCGGCCCAGGAAGGACAATGGAGATGACATTTTTGGTTGTTACAACTTGGTGCTACTGGCATCTAGTGGGTAGAGGCTAGAAATGCTGCTAAAATCCTACAATGCATAGGATGGTCCCCCCCTCCCCCCAAAAAAGAATTATTCAGTTCAAAATGTCAATAATGCCAAAGTTAAGAAACCTGACTTTAATTCAGTAAATATTTATGGAGCACCTATTGTGCCTAGATATTGTTTTTGATGCCTGGGGGAGGTAGCAGGGGACAATCTCACAAGATTACATTTTAGAGGGTGAGAGGAGAGAAAAACAGCAGAAAAATATGTAACATGTGGAATGGTGATAAGTGCTGTTAAGAAAACTGAGGGAGGGAAAGAAGACAAAGACTGTTGTGAGGGGATTACAATTTTTAAATTGGGTGGTAGGGAAAGATGCTACTGAGAAGATGACATGAAATAGATAAGATGACAAAATACCCTCATGTGGGTATATTGAGGAACAACATTGTGGCAGAGGGAACAGTGAATGCAAAGTCTCTGAGGCAGAAGCATGATGGATGTGTTCTAAAAATAGCAAGGAGGTCAGTATGCTTGAAATAGAGGGATTACAATGCAGAATCCAGCTCTGAGAAGGGATTTCCATCCCCTCTGCTGTGTCCCATCTTCTCTGCTTCAAATAGGTATATCTAGCTTGATATTAGAATGCCCCCACACATTCCACTTCATTGTTTAAATGTGAGTGAGAAGGGAGAAGGGCAGAATCTTTGTGTTTCATGTTTCTTTGTCCCACCCAAGCATTAGACCCTACTTTGTAATGAGACAATGTGTGGGGGTTGCATCTATAGTATCAGGATTATGAACCAAAAGATGCACTACTGAAGCATGGGAGAAACAAAGGAATGACATCTATTTTTCCTCCTCTTTCTCTCTTCCAGTTAAAGAAACAAGAGATTGGTGATGGATAGCATTTTGATCAAAAGTAGTGTAGCATTTACAAGGCTGAGTATAGTGCTGGGCTCATAATAAGGCTCATAATTTATCCTTTTGGTTGATTAGTATAGTTTAAGGCTATTACTCTTTGGTGAAATATGTAATTTTTACATGAATTCTAGCTGCATTACATAATCCTCTCTTTTAATCTTCCCAACAACCCTATGGGGTAGATACTATTATCTTATTTTACAGAGGAAGAATTTAAGTAACTTGCCCATGGACTCATATCTCCTAAGTGGGGGAGGCTGGACTTGAGCCCAGATCTGTCTAAATCCAAAGACCATGCTTAACCACCACATTATTTTCTCAATCATGAACTTTTCATGTTACCTTTACAAATCGAGGCATACTGAAACTTCATATATAATGAATGATACATAATACTTTGGCAAGGATCAATCATTAATTCAAAATAAATGATACTTTCATAAGCTAAAGCTTAGATTTATTGAAATGACAAACCAAAAAAAAAAACTAATGAAATTGGGAATTATGTTATTTTCTATAGAATCCTTATAAACCAAAGTGGATGAAGATGAGGTATGGAGCATGGTATCTGAACACCAAATTGTGGAAAAAGCAAAGAGCAGATGAACCTTTGGTTGACCCCAAGGTCTCACATAATGCTCAAGGTGAGAATTTTAAAAAAGAGCTTCAGGAACAGGTATGTGTATATGCTGAGATTTGATCATCCTGAACTAAAGATTATCATAATGTAACTACCTCTTATTGAAGCCAGAGCCTCTAGAGTAATAGAGAGGCTCCCAAGAGTCTTACAACCTTGCATATTGAATCCAGCACTGAGAAGGCCAAGTTATTAAATGGGGAAAGTGTAATAAGCAAGTCTTCAAATCTCCTGGCTTCATGGTAGGCACAGTGTCTCCAAAGATTGGACAACCATTTATTGTACTCCTACCACTCTTGGTTCCATGGATAAATTGGTGGTCCCAAGGCTGGAGTGATCTGGTAGGACCGCCTCACTACTCAGAATGGATATAACGTCATAGGTTCTTATTGAATAGTTACCTGTAAAGCTTGTTTTTTGTTTGTTTGGTTTTTTATCAGCAATGGGTGAATGTTAAAAGAATTTCAGAATTGCAATCAGGGAACTTCTTTTATGCAATTCAGCAGAGTTGCAGGATCTTTCTGAGAAAAAAAGGAACAAAGGTTAAGCACTGGTTGATACAAAGCGGCAAACTCACAACAAGGATGTGCTCTGATTCTACTGCAAATAACCCCTGTGCGTGCTGTCTCTTGTGTACAAATCTCTGAAGGAATGAGATCTTTATTGTAGTCCTGAAAACTTGGAAATATTGATGCAATACTTACGCAGGACTCTGATGAGAATATTTGTGAAACTCTTCCCTTTTTCAACAGATCCAACTATTCTCTCAGATCTCAGTGTGAAAACACTTCAAAAAAAGTAAAATGCTGTACAAATATGGCTACTTATTCATTCAGAAATCACTCATCAGCTGCCTCCTTTAGATTGCAGGAAGGATGGTCATTTTTATCTTTTCTAGTACTGGGTATGAAATGCTAATTTTTAGATGTGAGACATGACACAAATTTATGAACACAAGCTGCTTATATATAAGCTGAAAAATAATGTAAATAATATTCAGCAGAGTTTCTTGGTGTACGGTTTTAGGAGATGCCTATGTAAATTTATGTGAATTTAATACATAACTTAAAACTATTCCAGTTGTACTTTTTAAAAATAACAAAATCTTCTCAATTAAATATTTAGAAACAAAAATAGTTACAAAACTTTTGTTTTAATATGGTATTTAGGAGCTCTCATTTTAGAAATCTATTTTTAAAGACTAATTCTTAAACTTAAAGACTTAAATAGTTTTTCAAAAATATTTCATTTTGATGGCAAAAGCTAGCAAAGATATTTGCCAAAATGATTAAGGTTAGCTCGTGAAAAAGAAGTAACATTTAAATTTTGGAAATATGGTTGATAGAACTATTACAGTAAAAGACTGTTTATCAGGAAGTTTAGACCCAGGAAGGATTCAAATCAATAGAGTTGTTCTATGATTTTTATAAATCTTGCTTTTATAATACCTGAAGATTGATTTACCTGTGTATTTTAGGTGGTGCCACTTGGCTATGGCATCCCATTTCACAAGACACAGTCACAGTGGTGTGCTGGTAAGGGACAGTCACTGTGATGGCATGGCTGTCTTTCTGGGAACACAAGAGTTTTGGTCTGTTCTTGATTGAGTTCATTTGGAAGGTGAAATAAAGAACTGAATTGCAATGATATAAAATTATACCTTCAAATTTAAAATTCAAATAAATGAAAGGAAAGAAAAACAAACAATTGCATGAATACCCCAAAGATACTGGGGCTGGATCAAGTCTTTTTAGATTATCATGTCCTTTAGAATTAAGATCTAAAAATTGTGGATATATTGCTGAGTAGGGAGAACACTCCTGTTTCTTCCTCTACCACTCTTAATTCTGGTATCTGAATGTGTCAGGGATTTTTTTTCCCCCACACCAAGATTACCATTTTATTATAAAAGGATACACTCCGGAGCAGCCAGACAAAAGAGATACATAAGGCAAGATGTGCAGCAAGCGGCATGCGTGGGGCGCCTATGCCTTCTGCAGCTGCACCATACTCCCAGCACTTCCACACGCTCACCAACCTGGAAGCTCTCTAACCTCATCCATGTGGGTTTTTTCAGAGGCTTCATTACATAGCCATGATTGAGTAAATCATTGGCCATGGGTGATTAACTCAACATCCAGCCCTCTTCTCCCTGGAGGTTTGTTTGGTGGTGGAGCTGAAAGGGACAACCCTCTCATCACATGGTTGGTTCCTCTGGCAACCTGCCCCCATCATGTGACTATCTAAGTGCTTTTCCAAATCACCTCATTAACATAAACTCCTTTGTGCTTGAAAGGTTTCTGTTATAAATAACAAAAGACTTTTTTTGCCTTTGTGGCTCTTATCAAAATTCTAGGGTTCTAGGAGCTCTGTGCCAGGACCAGGAATAAGAGAAAATATATATTTTGTATTATAAAGCATAGTATCAAAATTATTCATCTTAAATTGGTTAGATTCCAGACATGCTAGGTCAATAATTGTCGAATTGCTAAAATGTATGGCTTATCCTTAATTATAAGGGTTAGAAAAAAAGGAAGGGAAGGAGAGAAAAGCTTACATCTTTTGAAAGCCTTTATATTCATAAACTTGTGAATGTTACCTATCCACATATTCCCAAATAAGGCAGTGGTTTAAAATGAGGTACTTTATAAAGAGCTAAATGCTTTTAATTAAGACAAGTATGAAATCAAGCTTCTGACTTGTTTTTTTAAAATGTGGACCCTCTTTTAGGAGTTACTTGCAAACCTTCATGGAACAGTTGCCTTTAAAGATTTCATTCTAAGCAGGGGCTACAAGATGCCAAATGTAAGTAAAGGGTCATTTCCGGAAGACTCGCTGAGGGGTCCACAGTTGTTGATGGGAAAGGATCAGTACCCTGACAAAATCAAAACACTTCTCTTACAGGCATACAGCAGCCCTCAGGTCCCTGGAGAAAGGGCATGCTTTTCCCCAGACAGGGGCCAGAGATAGGATCTGGCATTTGGTTCTGTTTATTCTGCCTGTTTGGTTTCCGCTGCGTCAGAGGTGCCGTCTCCCTGCTGGTGCACCTGCCTTGGGCTTGGCCTTAATGGGACCAGAGTGAAAGGGATCTGTATACAGGGCATGTGCCTTGCAAACTGTGACACTAAAACACTCCGAATTCTCTAGAAAGTATTTAAGTCTCTTTTACTGCCACATCTAAGGACAAAGAACTGTGGCTGGGGTCAGGACAAAATGGAGTTGGAATTCACAATATCATCATTGTACTATGGAGTAGGCCTCATGTGGAAACAGACTAAGGCAAAAGTTCACTTCCTGGGGGGCCTACTAGTATTTTCTTTTCACTTTCTCTTTCCCCCCTTCTAGTTTCCCCTCCCTTAATTTTCGAAACTGCCTCCCACATGGAGTGACCCCCTTGGAAGACCACATGTAATAGGGGTGGGGTGGGAGGTTGGCAGAGCGAACCATTTAGCAGCAAGTTCTGCACCCAAACCAGCCCTGTCACCACAGCAGGAAGCCAGCGAGGCATGGGGCCAAAATCGTCGCTAATAATAAGTCATATGCTTGCGTGTCCAGTGTCCTCTGTGTATACATCTCTTGGCATCTTTAGGAGGCCATGCAGCCAAGATGGGCAAAGTTCTTGGAAATAGAATACTGGATTCCTTTTTTTCCAAGAGTGATACAACTAACAATAGCTTATACTTACTGGCAAATAAATATGTTGACCAACCTCAGATCCAGACTGGTTTCAAAGTGAAATTAGGCAAGGTGAGGGGAAGTCTAGAGTAGGAGGTAGAGATGGGGCTAAAACACTACTGCATAACTGGGATGAAATTTCTCCTTTAGCTTTGAGCATCAATAATAGGCCTGCTAGGTATACTTAATATACTTATATACATTTACATACTTATAGAAACTACCTAATCTGTATATAAGGGTCAGTATATTTTCATTTATTTGTATGTATAATATATGAAATATGCTATTTTATGTGATTACATAATTCTATATATGATGTATATCTATATATGTAAATATATATGGTTGTATATATATCTTCTTGCAAAAGACATATATATGTGTGTGTATATGTGTGTGTGCATACACACACACACACACATAATCCTTATTTGCTCTTGATGTTATAATGACTCATAGTCTTAATGTTTTTAGTGGCAAAACACTTTTTTTTTTTCATTTTGATTTGACCCCTGTTGGTTTAATCCATTCTGTTGAAGAACATTTAATTCAATATTGGGCAAAAGGAAGCATGCCTGATGCATGCCTGGTGGCTTTACTCTTTTAGCTGCATTAACTAAAGAGAGATGGTGTTCCTGGCTCCATCTGAGTCCTCTGAGAAGACCTGTCACTCAAAGCCCTTTATGCTTACATCTGAGATTCTCTATTTTATCAATAAAATTTTAACTAAAAGAAAGGAAGGAATCTATTACAGTAAATCATGTATATATGTATATATACACATATATACTATATATAAACTGTCATTTATTTTAACATTAATTTTAAACATAAAATTAAAAATTTCAAACATTCATTCTCTTTTTACCCCCATAATGTCTGTGTACACCGTGTATATACACATTCATATATGTTACATGATCATAGGTACTTATACACATTCCAGTATCTACGGCTGGATTATCTACTCTATGTATAACCCATAGCTTCATTCCATCTGCTACACAGATGGGAACCAGGCCTTCAACAGCAGCGATGAGAAGCACAAGGCTGTTCTGAGCTGGGCCTGACTGGACTTGGGCCCGGAACAAGTGTGAAACAGATCTAGGTATTTCTGCTATTGTCAACTACCTTCTAAAGTCCAACATCTGTCACGGTCTAATTATCAACATGAGATTTTGAGTACTATGAAGATATATGTCATAGTATGAGATTGTGAATTTGGGTATGACACTTGTTGTGGGCACGACTATACAGTTTATGCTTGCCATTCTAATGAAATTTCTCTTCTCTCCTTTTTTTTTTAGTTCCTTGAGAAGATGTATGTCAGGAAGAAATGTAAAAGTGAGTGTAAGACTCCTATAAAATAACTCAGCATAGAAGAGTTTGGGAAGATGATTAGACAGGTTTTATTTAATTTATTAAAATTAAATTTTATTTACTCTGTATTACTTGGAGATTTCTCTGTCTCATTAAACGTTAAACAAAATTTATAATGAGTGTACCACTATGGGCGTACAACTTTGACTTGGCAACATCCGTAAACTTTATACCTAATACTTACAAACATTTCACAATGGCTTTCTGCTTCAGTTAATCAATATTTTATATATTTTATCAACTATGAGATCAATATTCACATATAGTCTCACATTTTTGTAGCACAGTCAATAGCAACTATTTATAAAAATAAATAAAACCATAAATAAAAGCAGAACTACTCTATTACACTTTCCCTGAGTATTATTTTTCCTGTTTTTTTCTTTATTCTTTCTTTAGAATATAATTTTCTTTCATTTTGAATTAAGCTTACTCAGATTTTTTCCCCCCTTTTCAGGCATTTTAGTTTTAATAATAAACATGTACCTATAACATAAGGTCATTTGTTGTTTCTGATCGAACCCAGTCCTATAAAGAAAACTTCCACTTGATCATGAGAAGCAACATAATTTGGTAATTAAACATGTGGACAGTGGAGCCGGAGGGCTGGGTTCAAACCACGCTCTGCTACATACGAGCTATATGACTATGGGGCAAATTGCTTATCCCCACTGTGTTTCAGTTTTCTCTTCCAAGTAGCGATGATAGCAATAATAACAGTACTGTCTCCCAGAATTGTGGGGAGGATTAATGGAAATATTACAAGTAAAGTCCTTAGAACAGAGCCTGGCACATTGAGCACGCACATTAAATGTTAGCTGGCTTTATGGCTTGGTGGATCAGGTGACCCCAGTTTATGATGGGCACAGGTTGCTTGGTTACCTAATGTCTCATGATCAGACTGCTGTATTTACTAGTGCCAAGCAACAAACCAAGATTGGTTTCCCAAAAGGAGAACAGTTCCATGACACAGAGTTCATGGCTCGGCTGCAAACCCTCAGGGGCCTGTGCTATGATTCACCTTTCTGGATGTGTCCAAGCAGCCTGTGAGCCACAGGTGCTTCAAGCCCCCTGGATTCACTGGATAAGAGGGCAGAGCTTTCTGGACCAGCTAAAATAAAAGCCTTCTCTTGCTTCAAGCTGCCCTCAAAACAGGCACCTTCTCAGATTACTAAAGAAATGAGCTAAAATAGCACATCTAAATCTGGCCTCCAAAATCCAAAGAGAAGCACAAGTAGCACATTGTTATATATTATTTCCAATGCCCAGATATAAGAGATGTAAATAACCTCAACAGCATAGATAATAATAAAAAGTTGTTCATTAGGAGTGATGAGTTTTTAAGGTTTTATCACCTTTGGTTTTAATATAATTTATTTACCTATAATATATATAAGTTTTAATTACTAGGTTTACCAACCAACTTACTAAGTTCCTGAAAAATTAACAGTTGTTTTTTGTGAGCTGATACAAGCTGTCTCTAGCACATTACTGATGGTAGGATTTGAGGCAATGAAGAGAATTGGTTTCCCCAACTTTCTGCCAGGTTACTTCCACAAAGGTCGTTACAGAGTCTTTACACAAGATGGGAAAAACCTCAGATCACAGAGTAGTAGGGAGAATTTCTTTGACAAGGAAGGCTGCATTTTATTGGGTTTCTCAAGAAGCAGATGGCAAAATGGGATTAGGTGTCAAGAGGTTCGCTGGGGGAGGAAGCAGAAGATACCGAGAGCTTTTAAGTTATGACGCACCTGTGATCCCTATGGATGGGAAAAGGGAAGGAAGGAAAATGGGAAAATGGTGAGCTGCAGCACAATTCACATAAAAGTTTGGCCAATCCAATGAGGGTGGGGGTGCCCTCAAGTCAAGAGCAGGAGTCTTATATTTAGCCAAAATGGGCCTGCCTTGGTACTTCTGCTTGCTTAGTCATTGGCTGGGAGCAGTGCAAGGGGGCATGGCCTCAGTGCGAGGGTAGAAGTTCCAGAGGGGTAGCAGCTGGGTCCAGCAGTCAATTATTCTCCCTGCAGCAGGAGATCTGAGTATCATATTTCCATATGGCTGGGAGTTTAGGGAGCTTTACACCATCTGAATTTTCCCATAGGTTCCATTTCAGCATTCAGGCTCTTACTCTTTTCCTGTCAATGCTCTATTTTCACAGAGGAGATCTGACAAAACTGTGAATTCAAATGATATTTTCTTCATTTATTAATAGTTAACTTAAAAAAAACAATCACTACAATGTTTTGTTTTTATGTAGCACATTACCGCTTATAGAGCATTTTCTTTGACTCACAGTTTTCCAGTCAATTCTTTGAAGAACTCAGGTCATCACATATGGCTGTAGTCAGGTGGTGCTCTCTGACAGACTGTGATGCAGTGTGCTTAGAATTGCACGACCTGGAAGCCACAGTTCCAGGTCCAGCCTCCACCTCCCTGCCTAACCCAACACTCCTATTTGCTCCCCTGACTTCCACTACTTCCACCACAGTAGCCCTTAGTGATACAGAATTATGAATGCTGCGTTAATATTTGTGTTCCCAACTGCACTATACATTTCTGGGTCCCATTTTTTCCCCTAAATATCCTTTTGGTAGTTTTTAGTAGAAGGAACTGATGGATATTTAGTTTTCAGGCAAAGAAAAAATGTTATAGGGGAAGAAAGACCCATTTCTTCCAATTGTTAGTCCTTTAGCTCTTTGAGATGGAGCTGGGCTCTGCTTCTTAATAAGGTATTAATTTCATGTAAGAATCTAATGAACTCAACTAATATGATGAAAGAAAAGAGAAATGAAGGAATGCATAAATTCTACCAAATATTTATGATATTTGCTGATATCCAATAATTTCATAATCTTACAATCTTTACATATACCCTAAGTCATCAACCCTGGTGATTTGTATAGTGTAAACTATGAGATCAAATTCTCTGGGGTCATAACTTGGGTCTGAGCTTAACTGTTTGACCTTGGACAAATTACTTAACTTGTACATGTGCCCCAGTTTTCTCATCTGTAGAATATGAAAACCAATACTGTCTTTTTCCTTGAACTGTTATGAGGATGCCTCCCACTGACATACACAAATTATACAAAATAGTACTTGGCAAACCGGAAACTTTCAATAAGTGTTATCTACCACTATTTTATATTTATTTTTCTCAGCTCCTGAAGAGTTCAGATGGCCCTAGTTGTGAATTACATACGACTCTTCCAATTAGCTCCTGCTAAATATTCTTTGAAAGGTAGTCAGCTCTAATACTGACCCTAGAGAAATTCAATATAGTTGTTCTTTGTGGCAGGATTTTCTATTCAGAACATTTTTTTTTAATTGAGATATTCATTTCACTCAAAGTTTTGGTAAGCTGTGTTTCCATTATTAAGGTGAGGTGAAGGTGGAGAACTTTTGTATCATCGTAAGTGAATTGTTTATGTACATGTTTCAAACTTACATTAATAAAAGTCCATTTACTTTTAATTTGAATTGTCTCTTTTAAAGCACATATTGATGGTTTAAAATAGTACCCAGCTTTTCTCTTCACCTTGAAATTATCTTAATTCAAAAGAAGGTGATAAGTTCATCCTGAATTTACATACAAATCATAATTTGAAATGAAAAAAGTCTGCATTTTCAAAGTTATTACTAATAGTTCACTTTATAGCCGTATTTCCATTTTCTTGTATTTTTTACTTCAGTTTAGTCAAGATCATCTCACTATAAAAGATATCAATTAATGTAAATCCTTTAACTTTTAAAAAACTTTTATTAGTTTGAAACAACATGCAACATTATTTAACTCAATTTTGTCTTTAAATTGAGTGAATGGTAAGTAGTTCAAAATTACCAAAATGTTCTTGGACTAAATATTATATCTTTGCCATATATCTGTGTTGCATTTTGGAAAATAATGAGGCTCCTGAACAATTTTAATATTCTAAATAAAAGTTTAAAACTAAACCCACTCATCTAGATGTATGATCTACACTGCATGAACTAACTGGGTTGTCTGAAATACCTGGTTGACTGTCTGGCTTTCTCACTTATCTGGCTATTTGACTTTACATAAGCCTATTCTTGTCTTTTTATCAATTACCATTGACATTTAATATTATATTAGTTTCAGGTACACAGTGTAGTGGTTAGACATTTATGTAATTTATGAAGTGATCCTCCCAATTAGTCTAGTACTCACCTGGCACTATACATAGTTATTACCATATTATTGACTGTATTACTTATGCTGTTCTTTACATCCCCTAGACTATTTCATAACTACCAATTTGTACTTCTTAATCCCTTCACCATTTTCACTCACCCCTCTTACCCCCCCCCTCCTATCTGGCAACCATCAGTTTATTCTCTGTATGTATGAGTCTATTTCTGTTTTGTTTGTTCATTTATTTTGTTCTTTAGATTCTACATTTAAGTGAGATAATACAATATTTGTCTTTCTCTATTTGACTTATCTTATTTAGCGTAATACCTTCTACATCCATCCATGTTGTCACAAATGGCAAGGTTTCATTCTTTTTTATGGCTCAATGATATTTTAACTCAGCAAATTAAAGGATTATTTTCCCCCTTTTTCTCTCAGTTCTACTGCAATGAGATTTCTTGGTTTTTTTTTTTAAAGATTTTATTGGGGAACTAGGGGAGGGAACAGTGTTGGGGAATTGAGGAAGGAGACCAGCCAAGTTGTTGTTCTTCAATCTTCGTTGTGGAGGGCGCCATTCACCATCTGCCTTCCCGACTGCAGCTCGTGGCCTCTAAGCTCAAGGTGCTGTGTTCAGTCTTAGTTGCAGGTGGGTGGAGCCATCATCCTATGTGGGAGTCGAACAAGAAGCATTGTTAAGAGTGCATGTTCTATACACTGAGCCATCTGGGTGGCAGCTCAGCTCAAGGTGCCAAGTTCAGTCTCACTTGCGGGTGGGTATAGCACACCATCGAATGGGCAATCTTGTTGTTACACCAGCTGAGCCATCCTGCCACCTGTTGGCAGCTCAGTGACAGCTCAGCTCGGGCACAGCATCACTGGCCCATGTTGGAATCAAACTGGTGACTCCATTGCTCAGAGCCCGCACTCTTAAGCCAACTCTTAACCAACTGAGCCACTCGGCCGGTCCCACAAAGAGATTTCTTTTAAAAGTCCTAAAGCATTCCTGATTTGAGAAAGTGGGGAGTCTGTGTTTATTTTTTTTAAATGTCCACATATTATTTAATACTCCTCTCTTCAAAATTTCCTGTCTAGTCCCTTTTCCCTGGAGTGTGGGATGCACCTAGACTTGATTGTAAGGAATAAGAATGTGGGAGAAGTGATGAGATGTGATTTACAAGACTAAATCATAAGA